AAAGATGTCTCCACGTTGTTCAAAACCCAACAAATATCTAATTCAAGTGTTTTTTAAGAGACAGCTCTCTTTAGAAGTGCAGATCCTTTAGTTTGGAATGAAACATCGAGTGCCAGGCTGTAATATTGCACACAGTGGAGATAAAACATGAGGAGGCCAAGAGATCCACAAACACAACAAACAGCCAAGAAGCAAATAACTAGGAGGCAGATGAAGTGAAGGACGCGAGTGAGAAGTACTCTTATACATAAGTACTTATAGCTAAACACTGATCAAGAGCTCTCTAAAGAGAGGCTTGATGCTTGAAGCTTGAAACTAAAACTCTCTTTGTTGTTAACACTTGGGTTCTCAAAGTAAAACAAAATATATATGAGATAGTAGGTCTGGGAAATAATTGTATATGATTATTTTAATGTTTTTCAATGGAAATGAATAATTAGGAAATTATAAATATATCTACATTTGCTTTTAGAGAATATAATTTGAGGATTGCAGTTGAGTTTAAAATATGTTTTTATTTTCACATAATTTCCCCTGTAAAAGTTTGTTTACGCTCAAGTTCATTAAAAATGAAAAAATACACGGAGAGTTTCATTTGACAAGAATTGAAATGAGTAAGAATACAAAAATAGAATTTACCAAGTGGTCTTTATACACATGATATATACCTATATTAACTCATAACTACAAAATGTGCTCGATGCGATACGACTTAAAGCTTATAGAAGTTATTTTTCATTGATCAACTCGTCAATAAAATAAAAATGTAATATGATCTATATGTTTTATTAAATTAAACTCAACTTTACTCCCCCATAATTATAAAAAGGAAAACTGTAGTAAGAAGGTGTATTTTGTGTAAAAATAATCTTGGCACACTGAATTTGTCCGGCTTTTAAAAATGCAGCATAAACAGACGTTTGCAGGGATGCGCCATGCTGAATAAATATTGAGTGCCTCAGTTATAACGTCATTATGCTGTCTGCAGGGAGGAGAGGGGGTCCAGCAGTGGGGGGGTCAACGTGTAGGTGGGACAGGAAGAGGGGGGGGGGGGGTTGCTGTTGACTCCGGCGCACTGCGTCCATCATCAAACACAGTGCACCAAAAGGCTCCCGGCGGGGTAACCTTCAGCGAGCTCTGACGTCTGCCTTATGGAGGGACAGTCGGCCGCGTGCAGCACCTTATCTGCTTCTCACTCTGACAGATATATCAATAAAACTGTTGGCCGCACATTAAGTGAAAGGTAAGGTGACACATTAACAAATAACCAAATGCAAAACCGCTGTTATTTCTCCTTTTGGAGTTTCCTTTTGCTGTTTTCTGCTTAATCATGGTTAAGCAGGGGAAATATGTTGGTGTCTGCCCCTTTGATTTCTTCCCAGTGGGCGAGGGCCATATTGGTTGTTTAGAAGTTATACAAATCTAAAGTTGTACTTTATTTTCATGATTCAAACTAGATTGGAAACACTTGATAAGCATGCATTTAAAGTGTCATAGCAGGTTGACAGACACAAAAAGTGTCAGTTGAATAATTAGAAATACTTGAAAAATTGAAGTACTGAAAGAAGATTAAAGTCAGAAAGGTAAGATTGCTCTATATTTGTGGATTTATTGTGAATAGCTCTGGATTGTGGAGAATTTGGTTGAATGTGTAAATAGGTATTGAAATGTTATTGGCTAATTCTGCAGAGAGAACAACAGAAGTAGAACAAGTTGCAGTCTTCAAGAGAAAATGCATGTGTTCTCACTGATGGAAACTTAGCTGAAATAGTCGAAATAGTTGAGATAGACAAATTGGCAAAAAAAGAAAAATCAGTTAAAATGGAACAGGGGAAAGAAGTTAAAAATCAAGCAAGAACATGTCATAATTCAAAAACAGTGTGTCCTATGTCTCTCTTAAAATCACCTTCCTCCTCCTACCGCCATACAAACAAAAGTATGTGTCGTAAAGTCTATGGTCGTAATTCACAAACGGACTAAACAGCTTCAATTAAGGTTTGAGCACAACATTTTAATTTGAGAGAAAGTTTTGAAAAGACGAGGAAGATTCAGGTAATCTTCCAGAACTAAAATACATTTTGGTATTCAGAAATCTAAGCTTGCCCCATTATTGCTGTAGCATTTTGTTAATATGTTAAAAGGTGTGTTAGTTTGATACAGCAGATCGACAAAGAAAACAATAAGATCCTAAAACTATGGAAAACCACCTGGAGAAACAGAGTAAGTGATGTTATCCTTTATACATTGTAAAAAAAAACATTAAAGCCCATACTCAAGAGTCGCAAGAATCTGTAAAATTCCTCTAAGAGTTTTAGTTTAGTTTTTTAATCTGGAGTTTCCCCCTCTCCAAAAGCCTGGTGAATTCCTTGTTCAGAGGCACATGTTTTGTAATGAATACTGTAGCTATCAAAATGAAAATATGATCTTTGATGATTTATTAGTAAGCAGTAAACAAGAACTGGTACAGGACAGGATAATGTCAATGACAAGGTGATTGATTAAAAAGCACAAGGTAGAAGATCCATAAATTATAATGAGAGTGAGAGCTAGCAGCAGGGAGGGAGGGAGCAACATAATTAGGTTAAGTATCAGTAATCCTTTGGGCTCATTAAAGCACCACCGCTCCAATTCAAGCAAACATACAACAAGCTTTTCCCATCATAGCATACAAAAAGCATGAAATACATGCAGTTTAACTTGCCCGCTGCACTTTTATTCATAATATGAACTAGGCATAGGCCCTTGAGATTTTATATTTGACTTTCCTGGTTGTGAGCTTGGAGTTTTACCTCCCTGTAGTGAGATTATGAAAGTTGAATTGGCCCTATAATTAGGGATGTCCCGATCACCTTTTTTTGCTCCCGATCCGATTCCGATCATTTGATTTTGACAATCTGCCGATACCGATTTTTCCGATCCGATCTTTATGCAATGCATTTAGAGAAAAAAAAGGTAACAGATAACGGCTGGTCATCCAACGCGATGAATTCAGCTATCTTGGCTGTTATTTTTTGGGCCTTTTCACTGTTCTGGGGAAGTTTCTCTTTCCTTTTAAAAGTCTCTGAAAGTGTCGGTTGTTTCAGTGCCGTTACCTGAGTGGCCGCTGTGTACTCGTCATGTTGTTGTTGGTGTTTGTTTCTCAGGTGGCGTATTAGATTGGTCGTGTTGAACGTAGCTCTGTTCTTTCCACCATGCGGAACCTCCGCCTTGCAAAATTGCATCTGGCTGTTACACTGCCTTCGCTTTCAATTTTATAATACTTCCAAACTCCTGACATTTTCTCTGTCCCGACTCCCGAGTCACCAGCTGAACGTAGCCTCTTGTTAGCTTACTGCTACTATTAGACACTGCGCCCACTCTGTTGCCAGATTTGAGAGAAATAAGCAACCAGGTCTATGAAAACAAGCCCAAAAGAAGCAACACATACATGATGTTGTGTAACTTTAAACCAAAACTAAGGCCTCAGGATGACTTTAAGACGTGAACATGGTCATTTTTGTTTTGTAACATTAAATAAAATAATAAAAATATTTTATAAAAGAAATCCCGATCCCCGATTTTTTTCTCCCGATTCCGATCTTTTGAAAATCACTTGATCGGCTCCGATCCCCGATCACGTGATCGGATCGGGACATCTCTACCTATAATGCTAATTTTCAGGTTGATATTTGTATTTCGTGCCTCTACTGTGACATGTTTACATGTTTGAGCGTTCAAAAAGGTCTTTATTCTCCTCATACAGCCTGTGCTGCAGCACCTCTTTTCACCCTCTGTCCGAAACCAGAGCCCAGTCTGCTCTGATTGGTTAGCTGGCCGACTCTGTTATGATTGGTCAGCTGCTTAGAGAGGTCCCGCCCCTTAGCCTATTATGTAAATGATGTTGGAGCGATAGCCAATAGAGGCGCAAGTGTACATAGGGATGTCATTATGTTACGGAAACAAAGAGTCAAATGGAGGCGTTTCAGGCAGTTCAACTTTGGGATTTTGGCCTTTGCAGACCATTCACATGCACAGAAACCTATGCATTATCTAACACACTACAGGAAAGGGAAAAGCCCTTGGGGCACAGAAAACTATGCATTATAGTTGAACCAATAACACATCATCATCTTGAAATTGTTCTGATATAGGTTGCTGGTGTATAGCGCCCTATAACGAATGGAGCTTCCCCAGGCAGTTAATGTCTGTCTGTCTGTCTGTGGGAGAAGGTAAATGAAAACAGGTTCTGTGGGAAATGTGGCAGCATGCCCATGTGTGTTTGTCAGTTATCAGTGTTTAACTAAAGAAAACTAGCTAGACTGGTGCAGAGTCCACAGCCTGGAGGGAGCGCATGGACCTGTCTTGACAGGCTGAATGTATTGTTAAATAATTCAAGATGATGGGAATACACATACAGTAATGGGGTTGTGTACAGTACACACTGTAGTGGTGACAACACTGTAGCTATGGTGGTTTGATTGTGTGACTCCTAAGGACAAGGACAGAGACTCCCTGCACTGCATGCATGCATGGCTGGCTGCAGAATCCTGCAGGCATACAGAGAGATAATCAATAAGGAAACTGCAGGTGCTGTCCACTCATGTCAACTGTAACTGAATTAAATATAATATTACAGTTAGCAGAGAGACTCAGAAAGTGAATTCACATAGATTGTTTTGCCCTTCACTCTTTGCTGGCATGTCAACAAAAAAGCAACTTGCACTTGATACACTGGCACAGTTAGACACCCAATAAAATCCTCATTCAACCAAACCCTTGGGGGTAGTTTCCCACACAAATATGACAGGCATCATTTGTATGCACACAACTCTAGACCGACCCAAAGCATGTCAAATGTGACTGTTACTATTTATTACGCCCGTAATTAAATACAACAAAGGCGGTTTGGGATATTCCACGCAACAGGCAAAGAGGAAAAGGCATTTCAAATGACTGCAACGTGGATTAAATATCTAAAAACATTCATATATTGGTGCAAACTGCGCCAGACATGCCCTTACCTTGTTATAGTCCAGTCGGATTCAGATGTCTTCTCCTAAATTAATGTCGTTTAAAATGTATACTGTATGGTTATTTTTCACAAAACGTGTTGTTAATCGGATATACAATCAGTATTGCCTAGAAGTGAAATAGGAATGAGGAAAAAAGCACGTTTTCGCTAGCTAAATCGAAGCATGTAAAAAACGTGTTGCCGCCGCGGAGAGAAAGACGCGGGTCTGGCTGCTGAAATGTTTGCTGCGACTATATTTGCTCGGCTGCAACACTGACTGAACACACAGCAAAATAACAGATTTGAAAAAAATCAAGAGGGAGGGCAAAATGGTGAGGGAGGAGTTCAGGAAAAGCGAGTGAGAGTGTGTGTGTTTGCTTTCGTTTATTAGATAACGTGATTAGCATTGGGGAGAAATCAAAGTCACGACAGAAGGTTGTAAGGTAGGCTGCCATGAACACAGGTAAGCCAAAAGGACAGGTGTGGATCAGATTACACTCGAAGAAGGGGAATAAAGAAACTTCCCTGATTAGAAATGACAAAGATTCCCTTTAAACCTGGTGACTGGTGACCAAATTGTCTGTAGACGAAAACAAATCACCTATATCCCAAAAGTATGGGGGACGAGAGATGCCAAAACAAAGAATTACATAGAACCACATATATAAATAATGTAATATTCAAAAATAAATATAGCTGTTGATATTTATTTTGATTTTAAAAATGTGTATTAAATTGTTTCATTTATGTAAAGATTTAAATCTGTATATTTTTCCTTTTGCATTCTTTCCTCTTTTTTATTTCCACCACTTTTTCTATATTTGCACATGCCTATTTGTTAATCTATTTTTTGATTGGGCAGCTTCCTTACATAAAATATATAGTACATACAATATATATACACAGTGTACCAGGCTTGGAATTTCGTCATTTTAGGGGCAAGGCCATTTGGCCTTCCCGTTCACATTTTTTTCAAGGGCACAAAGGCCACATGACAGGGCACAAAGGCCGTTTGGTTAAATTACGCTGGTCAATCAACATGACTGAAAAGTGTAGCACTAACGTCAACACCAGTCGTTTTACAAATGGCTGAATAGCAATAGTGTTTCTTTAACGTATACGTTAAGTTCAGCCATAAACCACATAAGTCAGTCATGTATTATATCAAAACCGCTTAGCAAGAAAAATACTAGATTCAAAGGTGCCAGCTATCTGCTAGCTTGTAGAAGCAACACTAGATGTAGACCCCTTGAAGGGAAGACGTTAGCGCAATCCAAACTAGCTAGCTATCGCTAGTTTTCATGACAAAATGTAACGAGTCAACTTTAAATAGGCTAATACAATGGTAATTACCTATCAATAGTACTTTCTATAAACACGTAAATGTTAAGTCCTTTCAAATACTACCACATACTTCAGTTAAATCATATCAAAACAGCTTGGTCCGCTTGCTTACCTGTGCTTGTCTTGCTCCCGCGGCTGAGGAGGAGGCTGTCGGGCCCCTACAGGCATTTCTGACGGAACAATCACAGCAGAGCAATCGCTCTGATCCACAGGGCACAGGCATCGCCCGGGACTATCCTACTGCGCGCACTAATATGACTTTACTAGCGTTGTTTACACTGGAACTTTTGACAGGGGCACCAAGGCCACTTTGGCCGTGAATTGCATTTTTTTTCACAGGGCATCACGGCCAAAGTGCGGGGCCACATGGCCGTCGTGGCCGTCGTGAAATTCCCACCCTGCAGTGTACACATGTTAAGGCTTATTCAATCTAACTGTATAATAATATTAGGATAGGGCGTGGAGGGGGGGGGGGGGGTGCAGGAGCTCCAACAAGGCGTTTAGGACAGAGTGAATACACATATACAGAGATGCTGTATGAGAAACCAATGTGAGTTTGGAACATTGAACAATGTAAATCTATTCTAGTAGACCTCAACAATGTAATTATGATCAGTAGAAATGGCCATGACATGGGACCTTTAATATATGTGTTGTAAATTCACAGATATCAGTATGAATCTGTTTTTTAAAAAAAAGAATATTCACAAAACCTTTTAACTGTTGTCTGGAGCCAACTGTAATATTAGTGGCACCAATTTACAGTAAGAGCCCCATAGAATACAGGCCAAATACAAAGCCAAGTCGATCCTAAACAGGAAAGGAAGAAGCAGAGCAGCATGCTTCGTATCAAAGACCGGCTAGTGCTTTTATATGTGCTTTTTGAGATTTTTTGCATCAGTTAAAAACTTGACAGACCAAAAAAAGGACGACAAGATGCAGGTAATTCATTGTAATTGTAAATACACACATATGTATATATATATATATATATATATATATTTGTTATATATACACTGAACAAAAATATAAATGCAACACTTTTGTTTTTGCTCCCATTTTTCATGAGATGAACTCAAAGATCTAAAACATTTTCTATATACACAAAATAACCATTTCTCTCAAATACTGTTCACAAATCTGAAAAAATCTGTGATAGTGAGCACTTCTCCTTTGCCGAGATAATCCATCCCATCTCACAGGTGTGGCATATCAAGATGCTGATTAGACAGCATGATTATTGCACAGGTGTGCCTTAGGCTGGCCACAATAAAAGGCCACTCTAAAAATGTTCAGTTTTATCACACAGCACAATGCCACAGATGTTGCAAGTTTTGAGGGAGCGTGCAATTGGCATGCTGACAGCAGGAATGTCCACCAGAGCTGTTGCCCGTGAATTGAATGTTCATTTCTCTACCATAAGCCGTCTCCAAAGGCGTTTCAGAGAATTTGGCAGTACATCCAACCGGCCTCACAACCGCAGACCACGTGTAACCACACCAGCCCAGGACCTCCACATCCAGCATGTTCACCTCCAAGATCGTCTGAGACCAGCCACTTGGACAGCTGCTGCAACAATCGCTTTGCATAACCAAAGAATTTCTGCACAAACTGTCAGAAACCGTCTCAGGGAAGCTCATCTGCATGCTCGTCATCCTCATCGGAGTCTCGACCTGACTCCGGTTCGTCGTCGTAACCGACTTGAGTGGGCAAATGCTCACATTCGATGGCGTCTGGCAGGTTGGAGAGGTGTTCTCTTCACGGATGAATCCCGGTTTTCACTGTTCAGGGCAGATGGCAGACAGCGTGTGTGGGTGAGCGGTTTTCTGATGTCAATGTTGTGAATCGAGTGGCCCATGGTGGTGGTGGGGTTATGGTATGGGCAGGCGTATGTTATGGACGACGAACACAGGTGCATTTTATTGATGGCATTGTGAATGCACAGAGATACCGTGACGAGATCCTGAGGCCCATTGTTGTGCCATTCATCCACGACCATCACCTCATGTTGCAGCATGATAATGCACGGCCCCATGTTGCAAGGATCTGTACACAATTCCTGGAGGCTGAAAACATCCCAGTTCTTGCATGGCCAGCATACTCACCGGACATGTCACCCATTGAGCATGTTTGGGATGCTCTGGATCGGCGTATACGACAGCGTGTTCCAGTTCCTGCCAATATCCAGCAACTTCGCACAGCCATTGAAGAGGAGTGGACCAACATTCCACAGGCCACAATCAACAACCTGATCAACTCTATGCGAAGGAGATGTGTTGCACTGCGTGAGGCAAATGGTGGTCACACCAGATACTGACTGGTTTTCGGACCCCCCCAATAAAGCAAAACTGCACGTTTCAGAGTGGCCTTTTATTGTGGCCAGCCTAAGGCACACCTGTGCAATAATCATGTTGTCTAATCAGCATCTTGATATGCCACACCTGTGAGGTGGGATGGATTATCTCAGCAAAGGAGAAGTGCTCACTATCACAGATTTGTGCAGATTTTAGAACAATATTTGAGAGAAATGGTTATTTTGTGTATATAGAAAATGTTTTAGATCTTTGAGTTCATCTCATGAAAAATGGGAGCAAAAACAAAAATGTTGCATTTATATTGTTGTTCAGTGTAGATATATGTATAAGGTAATTAATATGATATCAAACATTAGGGGCAGCTATCACAGATTATTTCTATATTACATCTCTGAAGGTTCACACTTATAAATGGTTGAAAATCCTACATGTATTACACCAGTTTTTTTAGATGAATCTGTGATGTCAACTACCACTGCAGTACCTCCTAGTGATGTGAAGTTTGCGAACGATCCGATTCTTTTGAATGGCCCTTTGGCACGAATGAAGGGAACCGAGTCCTACTTGGTGAGAGCTGTTCTTTTTATCGTTGGTTCACTGCCTGTCATAAATCCACTCGCCTTTACGGGAACTTTCTTTCCTGAATGCCAACTTGCCGTAGATGATGGCATAACGCATGCTGCTTGAGTAGTAGTTTGGCTGGCTGAGAGATGTAGTAAGTTATACATTTTCTGTGAGTAAAAGTATATTTCTGGCAATACAGTCAATCATTATCCTGGTGATTATTTCGCAGATAAACCTATTAACCCCGCACCCTTAAAAAATAAACGGCTCTTTTGAACGGCTCTCGGAAAGGAACGGAGCCATAAGATCCGTCTCCTTTTAAAGGGCCGTAATTCCCATCACTAGTACCTCCAGCCGGGATGTTTTGATTATGTTTAGAATATATCAGCGCTCCCTGCTGGTGTTCCAGAGGTTTGCAAGTGCAATACAAAAGCTTTGCAGTCTTTGGTGCACATGATCGGACAAAAGGACTTGAGACACAGAAAGAAGATATCAAAGTCAGTCAAGAATAGAACAATAGAACAATTCATGTAAAAGCATTTTATATAAAAGATTGAGCATTGGGTCACATTCAGTCATTTTACAACATTAGTAGTTAATGCTTCACAATGAGGTATCAATGGAAAATTCTCCTTTTCTGTTACTTAAAAGACACTTAAAATCACAGGTACATTTTTAAATGTATGCATTTTAGACAAGATAACAATTTGGCAAACATATAGATTGTAAATCACAAACAATATCACATTATTGATAGAAACAAGTATCACAGTTCATTGTTCTTTTTAACAAAGTAAATAAAAGAAACACCCCATTTTCCCAATCAACATCACATTAGTGTATGTGTTAAAAAGCCAGTGCCAAGTTGCATAAACTACCTTGAGTTTCAAACTTAAGTTTGTCCCATATGTCAAATATTATTCTAATCTCAAGTGTTTATCGAGAAGAATAACACTCCTTACCCAAGTGTTCAGACTAAGGCTTTCATGTTCTGTAGTCGTAACAGTAACACAGCACAAATGTAACTTGAGTTACAATGGTTACGCTTCAA